AACTTCTCGATCATCCTGTAAACTACTCGATCCATATAATTAGCACTTCTTGTGGATGTAAATAATGTGATAATGTTAACTATCTGCGTTCATAACGCATCAACTCCGATTGTAAGCACTTTTCCTGTCTTAAATAGAATAACTAATCAACTCAAGGATAAATGAAAGAACAGAGTTTTCGCATTTTTACTTAATTTTAAGTTTAAGGCAACTGGTAAGAGAGGCATAACATACACATATCATTTCTCGCATTGCATTCCTTAATTCAGCATTGTTTTGAGTTGCAAGAAATGTAAACACATCACAGATTGATAGAAACTTTTGTTTATAACTTTCATGAAGCTCCACAGGTGCTTGGTTAGTCTAAATAAGTGTGAAATCACGGTAATGAATTTTGAACATAAAATAATGAAAAATCCAACTTATTCTGTTTTATCGAGGAAAGACGAATGTAACTTTATAACAAATAGTTTTCAGAGTCTAAACTAAGACTTCCTAACATAATGGAAATGCATGTGCAACATGAAAATACTTGTTTCTCTATAATTTAGTCACAATAACGTTGATTAACAGATTAACTTCGTAAACTGAGAGTCAATTAAAATTAATTTCGAATTATTTATAAAGAACTGAAAAATTACCAGCACTGCGTTGAGATAGTGCTTGAAATCTTGTATTCCTATTTTTAATAAATGTGCAACAATGGTATCCGGAAATGAAATACTGCAAATAAAAGATTAGTTTTGCCAAGCTAGAACATTTTTGAAACAAAATCTCGGAATTCAGAAAAAAGAATTTGTTAAGTCCATATTACAATGTTATGAACATTTGTAATTAAGCCAATCGTAATTTCGAACTTTCATTTCATACTATACACCATAAACCAACTACTTGTCATTCCTTGTCTAGAAATCAAGCACTAAAAATATATAAAAATTTCGAAAATCCTCTTTCGAAATGCCAGATACTTGAACTTACGCAATATGTAACCATATCCAAGCAAAGCAGAAACCATGGGTGGAAGCATCAATCAGTATAGAGAGACATTCGTCAGGTGTAGTATTTAGTCTGAAATTATTACTGAAATTATTACTAAAGAGATAAGATGACAGTAATACCATTCCTAATCACTCACAGACATAATTTTGTGTTGCTGTTTTGATTTTGCAATCATTATAGCGTATTTGCATGCATCCGAGGCACCTCAACCTTGCTGCACAAAAACTAGTAGAAAAATGATGGCATTTAATAGCAATAATTATATGATTGCATTTAAAATGAAAGATGAAATGAAGGTGTGACATGTTTTTAAAAAAGAGCTCACAGCAAAGCGATCGCCTTATCGGTTAATTTGATAACACTTGAAACAGCTGGACATGAATCGAATAATGCAAGCAAAGCTGGTGGCGTAACACCGGTATTTTTTGCAATAGGACGTTCGTAGTTATACTTACAAATTTCAACAAATAGATTGCAAGCCCACTGAAAAGAGAAAGAATCCGATTATGAACATTTTCAAGAAAGCTCGAAGTTTTTTCTAATTCCAATGAAATTTTTTACTATTAAACAGTGAAAATTTGATTATTAAAATTGCAGTTAAAATCTTCTTTCAAAGTCTCATATCATTTATTCTTATCAAATTTACCAGAGTTAATCGATTAATCTAATAGCCAAATAGATATGATCTACCGGCTAACTCTTGAAACACTCTAACCACAAAAATCGCTAAAAATATTTCGCCAAGTCTATCAGCCTTTTAGACAAGCAGATTAATAGGTGACACATCTTAGCTCATCTGAAACCTATTCTATATGATTTAATTCCTTAACAAATCGCAATTTTTCTACATACCGTCTATATATATTTCCACTAGTGCAGATTGAAAAGATTAGTGAATTGTTAGAACAGGATAATTTTCAAAGATTAGACCAAATCCAGAGTTACTGTAAATTACAAGCAAAATAGAAAACATAAAGCAAGGAAACGTACCACAAGGATATCAAATGCAAAGCCTTTTGATTGTGTTTTAATTAGTAGACGTCGAAATTCACTTGTAAGCTTCCGTACGGCACGCTCAATGTTAGCAGTATCGGCTGCTAAAATAAGAAGATTTGTGTCTTTCCAATTAAATTTAAATCGATACAAATATTTTTCACAATTGAAAAATTTTTCACTTTATAAAAAATGGAACCCAGCAGAAGAATTACATTACTATGGTAAATTAGAAAGGTATTGAAAGCAAGAAATCTTTTGAATGCTGCACGATTGCATCCGGTTGCAAGATATACCATTTCTCAAAAGAAGTCCTTAATAGCGGCTGACGAATCTCCTTTCAACTATCTGTACGTCAATCATTCTACAATTCAAGTCACCTCAGCTCAGCAAATCCAAAGGGCAGTATTTCTAATGACATATAATCCTATCATTTTTTGATGTCTTGTATCTTTTCTTGGTCCCTGATTCCATTTTTTAATTGACCATAGATGAGCTAGATTAGATTTAGTTTGATAAAGTTAGTCCGTCCTCACATCAAGAATTCTTGTCTTTAGGAATGAAAATCAACTTTTCTAAGAAATGTTCCTCTTTCATTTAAGCATTATGTACGATAAAAGCGAATCAAATAATTATGATCGCTTGCGCATTCAATTTAATATTTTATTATTACCAACACAGCACTAGCAGAAAGCACAAATATGCTCAGTGATTGCACACGACTGTTCTCTTATGCTACGTAACTTGCTATCCCACACTCATGTGAAAATTTTGGAATAAATTAAATTAGTCTAACCGACGTGAGGATTTTCCCTTTTGGATAAATACAAATGCGTTGCTTCATGTGTTAGCATGCCAATATAATTCAAAATAGCAGGCCTATAAGTGACGTGCGATGATAACAAAGTTTACAATGCAGAAACAGAGGAAGAAAAAATGGAAAGATAATTCAAATACTTAACAATTTCCTGATTACTTTCATAACTTGATAACATTTCTGATTAACGCAATCAAAATCTTCACTCTATGAATTATCTTCTAATTCAAAAGCTCTTTACTCTTTATGAATATCTCTCAATTCAAAAATTAAACGTGCCTGGAACTTGGAATTTTTGACAAAATTTTGAGGCAAGGATCCACCAACTGTGAAACAGCGTTGTTCGCCCATATTGGTCTTAAATTCCGATATACCATTCCAATATCATCCACTCCACCGGTAATTGCGTAAATATCGATCATATATCGCTGCAAGATCTAAAATTATTTAATTAAATTGTCCTTATTATTGTCCTTTACTAGCAACTAATTGCAACTTCATATCCAACACAACCTGTAGTTACTAAACAGATATTAAGAATGTAACCGGTATGATTAATACCGATGTGTGAAATTAATAAATTAATTAAGTTAGCTTAGTAGTGTATTGGAAGAAAATATTAAATTAATAAACGTTGCACATCATTACCTGGGTAGTGGGGAGACCATTTTCGTCACCAGCCAAAGGTGTAGAAGGCGGATCATCCACAGAAGACGACGATGGCCGAATTGACATGCTGGAACTAATCATTCGACGTACAGGTGAGTAATCCACTCAACGCACATACGTTTAGAACTCATCATCACAGTTTTTTTTTTATGAAATTCATTGAGGACAGATATTTTGAACTCTCAGAGACCAAGGATGTATATTAGTCTACCTGCTATATGCCTCATTACAAATAACTACCCATCTCATAATCATGATCATACTTTACCATTGCAAACTTTTCATAATTGGAAATTTGCCATCGTTATTCCTATTTTTATGGTTCAAAGACGAATAGTTTTAATTTGTTCGAAAACAACATCCGCAAAAACTTAGATCTTTACTGAATTGTCGAAAAGTATCATCCATCCTTACTTGACCTCAAACGCTAACCTTTAATCACCTGAACAGTTCTATGATGTCAACTACTCCTGTTTACCATCTGGCCACAAAACGTTAAATTTAAAAATAGAAAAACAATGCTCAGAATAACTGATCATTTTCAATTAAGGGTATAAATTCACAGACTGTTACCATAACATCTGGAAGGCATAACGAAACAAGAAATCTCAAAAATAAAATTAATCCCTTAACCGTTCATCAAAATTGCAAAAATTACTAATACCGCATTCACTAAAATTTCGAATAAAAAGTAAATAGCAAACGAATATTATCACGGTTTTTCGAACTGAAAACAATTTATATCCACCAAAAAATTTTCTCAGCTTAGAAGCCTTTTGTGAGATTGGAGATTTCAAATGCCGTTAGTCCCACCTATGTATGCACTTATGTTTACATATATTTCCATCACCTTTATATTCCTTTAGATATTATGTGATCATTTGGTTACAACAATTAACGTCCCTTCCATTACATCCAATCGAATATAACGTTTAGAAATCATAAGGTTGTCTGCTAACTCTATCTTTATCATGATGTGTAGTGATAAAGCCATAAATAAAGCATAAAAATGCGTAGAGTTTAATTTCGGTAAGAAATCCTTCAAATCTTAAAATTTGCAAAAGATAAGGACGTGCTGAGTCGATAACTTCATTCAATTCCAATAATTTCGCTAAATTATTTTAGATAGCAAGAAGACGCGAAGTGCAAGAGATTTTCTTTACCCATAAAACTAATTCATTAAATATGTAAAAGCGCACTACAAATTCGAAAAATATATCTTCAAAAAATTGATGGCACATCTGCAAAGGCATACCGTACTCGTTATCATATAGTCGGATACAAGTAATACAATTGAACTGTTCCAAAATATTCGAAAAACAATAAAAAATCTACATCATTTCATCTTGAGAAGAAAATGATAGAAAAAATCTACAGAGGACTATCAGGAAAACTGTATCAATTTCTATCACCCAATAAACTTATCAAGAAGTTCTTTTTCCTGCTATAGGATATATATACACAGTCTAATTAAAAGTATTTCATATGAACAAAAAAAGTGCGAAGATGAGCTGAAATGATTTTATTTGCTATTCTGCTGCTGTTGTTCAGATTCGAATGGTGCCGGCAATTTAAGTTCGCCTGGTACCACGTCCCAAATTTCCCGAGCATATTCTGCAATTGTACGGTCCGTACTGAATTTGCCGCTACTTGCAATGTTCATTAAGGCCATCCTTGTCCATTTATCCGTATCCTAGAACAAAGTTCATTCGGTATATAAAATCATTTGCAAATAAATAAGGAATAAGTGGAATTATACACACATATAGGAACAAAAGCTTTCACATTAACTTGATCTCCGCTTGAAAATCCAGAAAATAAATATTCGAAAGCAAACAACTGTGAATTGGAATAACATGCAAACCTGATAAGTTTCTTCCACTTTTAGCTGACAGTTGATGAATGCATCATAATCAGCACACACCATAAAACTTCAAAGAAAAAGTTAAAGCAAAAGCAAGTATATGTATTCTTCGATTGAACAAATTAAAAAACGAAAATTAAATTTAGTTCAACTTCCTATAATAATGTTTTATGTAATATCCGAAGTATGCATTACATAATACTTATTAAAACTATTTTTAACTTTTGAAAATACTGCTCACACTTTCTCCAGAACATTCATTTCTCTTCATATAACAACATTCCACGGAAACGTGAAAGAACCTACCGATCCCATTTCCTCAACGCCATCGCAACATCGCGCAGTAAATCAGGCTGATCAGGAGTGAAGAAACCACTCTCAATTTGCTCGACGATTTTTGCAAGCTGTGGGTTTCTCTTAATGAAATCTTCTGGATTGTAACTGAAGAAAGAACAACTGCAGAAAGAGAAAAAAAGATGAATGATAAAGAGGGGATTTTAGCAATAAAATTCTTTTCAAACTGCAATGTAGGAATATGCCTGTCAATATCAGCAATTTCATTAACAAACTTACCCTCTTTTATTAAGTTCAGTGACATCATCAACTTCCATACCGAAGATGAAAATATTTTCACGACCCATTTCTTCCATCATTTCTATATTAGCACCATCAAGTGTACCAATGGTTAGCGCACCGTTCAACTTAAATAAATGCCGCTCTTATTATAATACATAATTCATCACTTACAAATGTTACATGTTTTTTTCGCCAAATTCATTTATAAAACATATAATCCATTCCATCTGTGCCTTTTTAACTGATTGTTCGCCATCACGAAATGTTAAATCTCACAATAAATACTGTATTCCAAAGTAAAATCACTATAATACAAGCTAACATTAAAGCATCTCTTATATCATCTCTGAAAATTAGCAAATGATATTGTTAGGCTGTCATTAGGAACTTCAGAATATACAAGATTACCAGACAAAGATAATCACCGGCTTTTTAATACATTAATACAGAATTACAAAGCTAACCATGAATTTCATGTTACCCGTTCCACTAGCTTCCGTGCCAGCAGTTGAGATCTGTTCACTAAGATCTGCAGCTGGAATAATTTTTTCTGCTAATGAAACGCGATAATTTTCCAAAAATATCACCTGAAATGATCGATTTCCTGAACAATTCATTAAATTTAGAATTTTTAGAATTTTTATGCATTTTTAGTAAAAAATTTTCATCATCAATTTTGCCTCTTCTTTCATAATTTCTATAAAAGAGAACTTTGCTTTGCTGTTTAAAAAAATTAAAACCTTCAGTTTATCCCCAACAATTGTATCATAATTTATTATATCTGCAACACAGCCGATTAGTTTGATAATTTGCTTCGCCATATGATATCCTGGTGCTGCCTATAATGAATACCAACTCATAAAAAAATTCCAGAAATTTTCTGCAAATTTTAGAAAAAGGAGAAATCCAACTTAGCTTTCATTATTTTAGAGAAAAAAAAAAGGATTTTGCCAGAAATATTTCTACACTTCAGAAATTTATAAATATAATAAAAATCAATCCATCAGATATTTTGTTCAAATCAACTACGTGAAAAATTTAAAAGCTATGAAGTAAAAACAACAGAAATGCAACCTTTCCTCCAAATATTACAGTACGCGGAACAATATTTGCATTTGGATCAGCTTTAATACGATTATAAAGTGTGATAACATGCAATACGTTCAACAGTTGGCGCTTATATTCGTGGATTCGCTTAACCTGTAATTGACCATTCACATCATTCGCTTATCAACACAAACAGTTGTTTTTTGAAGGGCCTTTATGCAATAATGCTGGTCGATATACTTGGGTAAGTTCTACCTTCTTGCCTCTGTAACGTCAATGCTAATACAAATTCTCAAAGAAGTCTTCAAATAATCTATAGTATATATTACATTTAGTTAAAGAAATGGGACTCACTATTTGATATTATTCATTATGTGCACATAAAGTCCACTATTATTTCACTGATATTCAAGAAAACTACTTATCAAGTAATAAACATAAAATAAACTGGCCGAAATTTTATCAGATAAAATGATGACGGAAAATGACGTACGTGAATATCAAAAATACTGGACGGATTGATTTTAACATTATATTTGTCTTCCAGATATTGCGCCAAACGCATTTTATTTTCTTGCTTCACTCGGCGGATCGAATCCAAAAAGCCTAAATCGCCAGCAAATTTCTTTAGTTCTTGCAATTTGTCAAGATCCGTAATCCAGTCTTCCCCGATTTTCTGGAAAATAGAATGAAAAGTTAATTTAATGAAGTACTATTCATAAATTTTCTGTACGATGATTTCTTTTAAGGTAATCGATATACTACTCACTCCAGTCAAATTAAATGACACATCATATCAATAAAGATATTTATAAATTCTTGTGTCCCACCTCACAGATAACATCAGCAAGAGATGGATTTGATAACAGAAGCCAACGTCGAGGTGTTATGCCATTGGTTTTGTTTTGAAATCGATCTGGGAAAAACTCATAGAAATCTTTGAATCTGAAACGAAATTAATAAACGCTATTTAACCAGTGGTAAGCAATAGATACCAAGTGTTAGTAACTATTTCCTGATATGCGTAACAATTCAACATAGTACGAATGCTTGCAATCATTTAAACATCAGATTAAGCCTCATTTCACATTTCATCACATTACGAAGTCGTGATAGCGTAACATAATGGAAAATGAAATGAAGCATAGTATTTTAAACGAAATAAAATGTTAGTTCTTCTAATTTAAAGTGACTTAAAACTAAAATATGAAATGTAAGTTTCGACATTGAACTTACACGGTTTTTTTCAGCAAATCCGAATGTAAAGCAGCAACACCGTTGATTGCATGTGAGCCAACGATACATAAGTGTGCCATGTTAATTCGTTTCTCACCAAAAGCATCCTCTTCTTCCACAATTGACATACGACGCATACGACTGAAATCCCCTGGATATCGTGCAGCTATTGCCTTAACAATTCAACTTCTATATTTTTATATATGCATTCTGATTCAGCTAAATGTATGAGCAGGAAGGATTGAAGAAATAGCTTCAAATTACTTTTTCAAACTTCAAACTATGACCTTTCAATTCGAAATAAATTTAATTAAAAAGTGAATTAAAATCAAAACCAGGTCATTCAAATTGCTAAATCATTTGTTGAAGTACAGCGAAATAACTTACGTCCATGAAAACTTGATTAATTTGGTATATGATTTCCAAGTGTCTCGGCAGTAAATTTCCAAGCAATGATACTGGCCATCGTTCAAGAGCTTCTGGCAAAAGCGTATGGTTTGTGTATGCAAATGTTTTTACGCAGATATCGAAAGCTTTGTTGAATGGCAATCCTGAAATAAGCATTACAACTTTTTCACTAAAGTTACCGAAACGTCAGAAATCATATCAATAAACGAGTAGAACTGTTAAATTTGTTTAGTGATAAGTGAATAATTGAACGAAATGATTATAACAGACCTTCGATGTCGACAAATAAACGTATTAATTCAGGAATACCAATTGATGGATGAGTGTCGTTCAGTTGAATTGCAACCAGAAATAGAAGAAAAATAGTAATTTAATCCACAAAAATTCGAACTTATGATACTTTATTTTAATTAGAAAAAAGTTTAACTTTTTCTCCACTGGAAATTAATCATTTAATCGCAAAAAAGAACAAAACCCAGAACTTTGAAATTAAATTTAAAATTTTACTCTTGCGATCAAAAATATCAGATGGAAGCGACATCAGACCATTTCCGTAGTATAATTTAATCATAATCACCTTTTCAGGAAAACTGTCCAGACTTGATCTAACAGCATCACGACAACCGTATTTGCTTGATTTGAAACGCCTGATGATATCCTGCAAGGTGGCTGCTACCAGGAAATACTGTTGCTTTAGACGGAGTTCCTTGCCAATGAAAACCTAAAAATCAGCCCGTCTCATCTTATAAATCATTAACGACTCATTATCATTCTCATCATAATGAATTGACATCTTACTAAATTTTGATTATATTAAACTTGCTAAGACTCACGTCATTCATTTCTACGTTAATAGCATGATACCTAATTGCGAAAACTATCATATATCATAATTTCCTAAGTTATATATCTATATATATCAAATTATTTCCTTTCACCCATCTCTTCGGTCATTATTGTCTGCGCTAATTCTTACTAGCGTAATTATTAATTAACTTGCTTATATGAACCAATAACTAAGTATTAATTGAAAGATCAAGGAAGTAGTACATTATCATTGGGATACAAGACACGAGTAATATTCTCGGAGATGTTACGGTCCATCACTGCTTGCACATAATCACCATCATTGACTGCAAAATTTACAAACCAATATAGAAAACTACTATTAAGATTGCCATAATAGAGATTGTCATAATTGCTATTTGTATATGCAAAAGTTTACATAAATTTTTATTCGATTTTAATTGCTATAAAGATAATTGCTATAAATATTCTCAAAATGCTATTCTCAATCGAAAATTTCAATTTTGAAGACATACAGAACTTCAACTGGAATTTATTTTCTGCTTTCGCTGACCACAAACGCAAGCTGTTTACAACATTATTCCGAAAACCAGGAACAGGTGTATCATATGGCATTGCAAACACCAATTGTGTATTGACCCATTTATTCTGAAATTTAATTTTTAACTTACATTTCCTTCAAGTATGCAAGAAAAATTAAATCAAACTTCTTTTTATTGATCAACTTTTTTACCCAATAAGAAGTCTGAGAAAAAGATTCCTTTCGAATAAAATATAGTACCACTAGAGATCCGCTGTACCATGAAAAAATATTGCTGGAAAATTAAATATATCTTACTTACTTTGCCATTTGCATCTTTCTCAACTTTTCCATAAAAATTGACCGGTAGCATATATTCCGGACGAGATTTCTCCCATGGATTACCAAATCGTAACCAATCATCTGGTTCTTCAACCTACAGCATCTTTATCCTCTCATACTTTCAAACTTTGTTTCGTTCTTTTATGATGCTTGTTTTGCCGAACTTATCTATCACTGCGGTATTTTCTTCACACCCCCACTAGCATAAAGAAAAAAAATGTTTAATATTTTTTGATAATTTGCATACCACAGCATATTGTATAGTAACGTGAAATAATGTTCGGAATCTTAAGTGCATTTTTATCAAATCGAGGTGATAATCAACACTATTGATCATAACCACAAAGTCCGGTAAATATCTATGTTGACATATACTTAAATAAATTAATTGATAGACATACTTGCCAACCATCCTGAATGAGTTGCTTGAAAATACCATATTCGTAGCGCAAACCATATCCATAAGCAGCAATACCCAAAGTAGCCATTGAATCAAGGAAACATGCTGCCAAGCGACCAAGACCACCATTTCCAAGACCAGCATCTTCTTCGATTTCTTGTAGTTCTTCCACATCAAGACCAAGCTATATTTTTAAAAAAGTTTAAGACAAAATTTCAGCATGAAAAATTTCATTTTTATTTCCACCAAAATAAAAATTAATTTTTTTGAAATAAGATAAATTGGTAAGGAAAAAAAAGCCAAGTAATAAGCACAAGCTAGATGTTTTTGGAACAACGAATGCAAAATCTAATGCATTAAACTTTAGCTCGATTGATATTTTTTTTTGAAATAAGTTTTCCAGACAATGAAAATCATTTGCAATGTCAAGTGCAATTCTACCTGATATAAAGCTTCATCGATAGCTGCTTGAATACCGATATTCATCATCGTGTTGGATAGCGTTCGACCCATATAAAATTCCAACGACAAGTAGTAGACACGCTAGGAAAAAATAGTTTCAATTAAAGATAAGTGAACAGGGAAACGAAAACAAAGAAACTTTTCATAGGAGAAATTTGAATCGTTGAAAACTCAATTATGGAACCAAATTTAATTTTAAAACTAGTACTTTTGGGTCTTTGTCGTAGTAATATTGTTGCGTACGAATCCATCGGCTCACTAAATGATCTCTGACAGTATTTGCCAGAGCAAAGTAATAATCTCGAGGTGTTGCTACATTTCGATCCTGAAATTTAATAATTAACAAAAGAAGAACGAACATTTTCTCCATTAAAAAATCCCTTCTACTAGTAAAGCATATCATATCCCGTGATGAGCAATCCCTTTATTTTGCCATTAAACACAACTTTCTCATTTTTTTTTCCAACGCAGACTTTCGCAGTTCATGAAAATGAAACTTTTCATTTCAACTAAACAGTTGCTACTTGCTTCCCAAAAGATTGTTTATTGCAGAACAATTTTTTATCTTAGTAAAATTATTCCTTCAAGAAAACCTTGATGATGGAGAAGTGAAGATGACGGTTAAATGAATTTTTTATGTTTGTAACATTTTCCACTTGAGCAATTCCACGTACGCTGATTTGCTTACGACGTTCATGATCAGTTACCATTGCCATCTTGCTTTTCCTTCAAATAACTCTATCATCCTAACAGCGCTTTTCATATTAAATCATCAACACAATTTTTCGAAACATACATAATTTCAAATTATAATTTACGAAATAAATTTGCAAAGTATTCGGGAAGGAAATAAACGTAATCGTAAATGTGAGATATTCAAATATTTGGAAAAATAAAAACAAGAAAACCTAATGAAAACTATAAATGAGAAAAGAAAAAAATTCATATAGTACATTACTATAAGCAGAAATACAAAATGTAGCAATAGTGAAATTATAAATAAGTAAAAAGAATATAATGATTTACTGATGAATGGATGGATGGATGAAAGGCATGAACATGAACGTGATAAAATGGTATTGAAAGATAAGGATACAGTGCTGAAAGATAAGGCTGATCCAAGAATATATATTACTATTGGAAGATATGATATGCAAGCACTGATTTTTACTATGTAGTATTTTATTAGCAGCAATTATACATTTCAAAATTAGTTGAGTTTAAAAAATTAATAGAAGTTCGACGAAGTGCTATTTGCTTGAAATGAAAAAAATTATTATTAAACCAAGAGGATAAGTAAGATTTTATGTGCCACCTTGAGAACATTAAGATATCAGGAGGATTAGTTCATTTTCAACAACTTTGGTATTAATCAAATACATTTCGACTATTATAAATGATCGGAATTTTAATAAGGCTTATGATATTCAATATTAATAGGAACAGGAATAAAAAATACATTTCATTAAAACTGAAATTTTAACACTTCATACATTTCATATTTCGATCCCCGACTACCTACTGATTTCATACTACTGCTTAACTTGATGTTTCAAGAGCATTCGATAAAACTTTATGTATCAATTCTTATACCCAAATATATATATATTTTCCTATATGAGCGATTTTTGTTTCCAATCATTCCAGATGTTGAAAGATTCCAGATGTTTGTGAAGCTAAATCCACCACCAATCAATTACACCCAAAATTTATGTGTTATTTTTAATTTCATTAATAGTATTTGTTTCTAAATTTCACTCTCAAATTAATTTCCCGTCTCTATATTACATTAATAGGTCTTGCATCACTACGAACTTCACAAATATCCATCAAAGTTACTGTCATTAATAATCCTCTCTACCTGGCTATTTATCCAATTCACTGCATACTTCTTTCCTTCCTTATTCGATTAATTATTTATTTCATCACTTACCTCAATGCTTCTCTTGTTTAATCCATGTATTTTACAATATAGCTTCCAGGAATTTTTCCCTCATTTTCATTTTTCCCATCTAAAGTTTGAAATGAAATTATTAGAAGCAATGAAGGAGAATGAAAATATAACAAAACTATTTTATTACAAATAAGCTATCCATTATATTTTCACTCTTCTCTAAATGACTCTCAGTAAGATTGAATTATTTCCAAAAAGAAAATGATTATCTCTAACTATACATACGCATATATATACCTTTCACTGTTAAATTATCCACGAACAAACTTCGACAAATTGATAAATTGAAAAATATATTACATTTGAAATATCAATAAATGCTTGACGCTTTGGTGTTCACTTCGAAATATCTAATCTTTTTCGAAATTTCGATATCAAAGTTATGCTCTAAAGATATATGAAAAAGGAATGAATGAATTGAAAGATACGTATGATTTCATACTGTTAGAATAAACCACCAAAAATTGTGAAAGTAAACAATTCAGTTCATTATCATACGATTCATTATCATCACTTATCTTTGGAATAAGCAAACGATGGAACTGAGCAACAGGTGACTACTCGCTCACAGTATACATATCCACATGCACACATACACATACAGACACACACACACACACACACACACACACACACACATATAGATACATACGCACACACAAATAGCACTCTCAACAAAGTAATACAAATATTTTTCACTACAGTATAGCTAAAAATCAAATCTTCAGCATCACACCAAGCAAACAGCAGAGCAAGCACTTCGATTTTTTTATATCAATCCAAAATAACAAGAAATGATGATGATGATGATGATGATGATGATGAATGATAATTATGATAAAGATGGTCTTAATTGTCAATGAAATGATAGTTGTAAAACAACTGCAATGATTATGATAAAGAATGACGAATAATAAAGCAATAAATAATTTTACTAGCGCCTGCTTCAGATTTATAAATATCACATGCAGAAAAGAACAACAAATGAAAATTAAATATATTTAATTCAATTTATAGTTAACTGAATGATTTAATTAATTAGTTAGAAGAAAGAGTGAAAGAAATTGATAAAAATAAAAAGTGAAAAAATATTTTTGTTAAGAAATTCTTCTTCGTCTTCTTCTTCTTCTTCTTCTTCGTCTTCCTTCAAACCAATCCTTTCAATTTAACGATGAATTGAAAACAGAAAAGTTAGGAAGTGAAATTTCTATTAGTGAAACAATTTTTTTGCATTAATAACGAAGAAAATGAATTTTTTTATTACATTGTTTTTTTTTTTTGAAATGAAACGAAAGATAATTTTATTATTTCAACATTGCAATCAAAAATTTATAATATTTTTCGCAAGTCATGTGATTTGATTTTAAGAAATTGATCAGTTATTAAAATACGTGTAATTTATTAAAAAACGTGTAATCATTGCTTACGTGAGCTCTATTAATCTATTAGACGTGAAAGATGAATATATTAATATACTTTTACGAAATTTTGATAATAATCAAAAAATAGTAAACATATATCCTTGAAGTAAATAACCAAATAGTCTTAATTATATGTACATTTAATCAACTAATTAATAATAATAATTTCTATACACAATTTTTCACTTAGACGATATAAACCCAAATTAGTTCTAAAAATTCAAATGATGATCTATCATCATAAAATTCTTTTAATTTAATTTTTGGCTTTAAAAAAAAGATGATATTTGTTTACACTGTTATATTAATTGCTTTATCGATTAGTGTGTATTATTGTTTGAGCGTTTCGTTCTTTCCTTCCAAAATGCTAAAAACAAATTTTGTCTAAAACTAAAATTTTCGAAGAAAGTGAAACTTGTTGAGGTGAAAGAGAAATAAAATGTGCGCAACATACTGAACTATAACATATTTTATATTATACCTTTCCGGCAATAACATACTCATAAAGAAAGAAAGAAAGAAAGAAAGAAATGAAGAAAGAGAGAAAGAAAGAAAGAATAATATCAGTTACATGAAACTTCAACTTTCACTCCTTTGGTAAAATTTCAATCAAAAAGAACCGAAATATTTGAAATTTTTTGAATTACTTTCTTTAGCAGCTTATAGAATTACAATTGTATAAAAGAATTTTGACGAACCAACTGTATCATATCATATCATATCATATCATATCATATCATACCCATCTTAAAAAATACATTAATTAAGATTATAAGAAAAAATTTTGCGGAATTAAGAAGTTAAAATTTAGTGATTAACAACATACGAATTTTGGCCTATCTAAATCTTGTCTTTGATCAACTGATTTATTGTATATTTACCAGATTAATTGTACATTTACAGGTAGAAGATAGAAGAATACATCCGTAAAGGTCATAATTTGAAGTTTTAGCTTAAAAAAAAATGATACTACCTGTACTAATATTATGCTGGAAAGAATAAAAAATCTTAAGTGCCAAATAATAAATAACTTCCAGGAAGTGTCATCCAATAGGCATAAACTAAAATGCAAATATGAAAAAGAAATATGTCTAAATACCACAAGATCATTCACATATCGATCGTACGTTCCATCCATTTTATCGAAATGAAATTTTCAAAACCATTTTTTGTATTTATCGACGATAATGTCATTTCTTAATGACTGATAAAAATATCATAGAGTCTTTGACATTATAGCCTAAAATAGGTAAGTGAACAATTTACATTTTTAAATGCATTGATTGATACTTTTCCACTGTATCATTCATTTATTGGGTAAAGTTTGTCGTTTAATAAAAAGATGAGGATTATGAAACTCAATTTCCATTGGAAGTCTATATTTTATTATGGCATTTTAATGCATACATTTGGTGAAATGATTATTTGCGTGATTTAACTGTTAACGGTGATAGTGATAGTACCCTTCCTCCGCTCCTTATCATAGGTCAAAATCATGTTGTAAGCAGGCAGCCATAGTACAGATTTGCTTGAGACGATATGCAGTATCAATTTTTTTAAAACTGATAATATTGATAAGAGAGCTAAGTTAGGATAATTGTTGATAATTGAATGGAAAAAGGAAGAGAGAACTTCATGATCTCTTAGATACCAAATGACCAGTTGTTAGTTAGCAGAGGTAGTTTAATTTGAAATATGAGATATCGCAAAAAACGATATAATTAATGATAGTTAGTTTTTTGTGATATAAGTCATTGTCTTAGACCGATAAATTCCATTCGTCTAAAGGCGAAAATTTGAGAGTTGAAAAAAAAGGTAAGGAAATGTGTAATATTTTGTGTTATCAGATAAAATGAACTGATAAAAAAAAGGCAAAAAATATGATTATATTACAACAATAAATAAGTAAATAATTTCAAAAAATATGAATTATAGTCTAAATTTTAATTGAATGATTAAAAAATTTAATCAATTAATTAATTAATAATTACATATCAGTAATGGATAAATCGTATAATTTTAACACATTATTGTTAAAATGCTAATAGCTTAGTTATTGAAATAAATATATGCTAAAATTTTTAATTAGTAATGAGTCAAAGAAAGCTTAAAAAACAATAAATTAAAAAGATAATAAGTAATATTGATAAATAATAAATTAAACTATTCATTATTGATTGCTTAATGCAATTGAAAGTATATAAAGTATTCTAATTTATCCTAATGATAACAAATATATGATTCGTCGTCTATTCGATGATTCACTATCATATTATCATCTTATCATCAATTTTAACTTCTAACAAAAAATACGTAAGACAAATTTTAATCATTGAATTAA